TTTTATATCGGGTCAGAGGTGTGGTCGGGCAATGGAGAATAGTGAGATATCCAAGGCCTGCTACCAAACCGGATTAAATTTGGGATTGCTTAATATTAGATCCATTCGGTCAAAATATGATATAATTCATGATTTGTTATCAAATGATTTAGATATATGTGTACTGACCGAAACATGGCATGGATCATCTGATGATATTTCTGTGAAATTGGCTATGCCTTATGGCTTCTCATTTATGGATTATTTGCGCCCACACGACCCTAATCATGGAGGAATAATTGTATATTTTAAGAATGTTTTCAAGGTTAAAAAAATAGAATTACCAGTGGTAAATTCCTTTGAATCACTTGCTATTAAATTTCGGTGCGGTAAAAAAACGATTCTGTTATTGGCAGTTTATCGACCGGGTTCTGTACCAATTACTCCTGCATTTTTTGATGAGCTTACATCACTCTTGGAGCAGATTTCGTTATTGGCGGACTATGTCATTCTTACGGGGGATTTGAATGTTCATTTGGAAAAGGTTGGAGATACTCATTCAATCCGGTTGGTAGATGTTTTTCATGCATTTAACCTTGAAAATAGAGTTAAGGAAACTACCCATGTACATGGTGGTATCTTGGATCTAGTGGTATCCTCAATGGAATTGCCTGTGTCTTCATGTACCGTAGGTCCATATGGTATTTATTCCGATTATGGTCTGGTCCAAGTATGTTTTTCGATTCCGCTAAATTATTTTGTTAGAAAAAAAAGACTGGTTCGTTCATGGAATCGTGTGGATTTTGATAAATTTGCCGCGTTAATAATAAACTCGCCTATTAATGGACCTTTTAAATCAGATGATCCTGAATACTTATTTGATCTTTACAAAAAAGAAGTTAAAAATATTATAGATATTGTTGCACCGAAACACTATGTGATGACTCGAAACAATGCTGCTTCGCCTTGGTTCGATGAAGAGTGTAGGCAGACTAAGCTACGCTGCAGAAGACTTGAAAGAGCTTATCGACTTAATCCTGGGGATGTTAGCAAGAAAAGGTTCGTTAATGCTATGTTGAAGAAACAGTCATTGCTCTCAGAAAAAAGGAAAGCCTACTGGAGAAATATGATTGAAATAAATGGCTCCAATCCAAAGAAACTCTGGATGACAATTAACAGAGTTTTATGCAAGATGAATTCTGTTGATTCGCTTAATATGTCAGATGAGTTAAATTCTGATGATTTTGCTCAATTTTTTAAAGATAAGGTTGACAACATACTAGAGACGATGCCTTGTATCAAAGAGCCTATTGTTTTAAACAATCGGATGAGTGAATGTGCTGAACTTTCATTATTTCAGTGCTGTTCCAGTGATGAGATTCGTCAAGTTATTTTGAATTCACCTACAAAGTCGTGCCCACTGGATGATTTGCCAACTAAAATACTTGAAAAATACGTTCATCTGTTTCTACCGTTTTTGACTGTTTTTGTAAATGCATGTTTAACTTATGGGCATTTCCCGATGGCTTTTAAATATTCAATTGTTGTTCCGATGTTAAAAAAGCAGACATTAGACAAGAATAGTTTATCAAGTTATAGACCGGTGTCAAATCTAACATTTTTGTCAAAAGTTATTGAACGAATTGTCCACAAACAGCTAATTTGTCATTTAAATCATAATAATCTGCTACCAAAATGTCAGTCAGGATTTAAAAAATTTCATTCAACTGAGACTGCACTGATAGATGTTTCATCTGAGTTGTTTGCTGCTATTGATGATCAAAATATCTCAATCTTGGCATTACTTGATATTAGTGCAGCCTTTGATTGTGTTAATTACGAGATTTTACTTGGAAAGCTACGTCAATGTTTTGGAATCTCAGGTGTTGTTCTTATTTGGTTCGAATCATATCTCTCTGCGTGAAAACAACAGGTATTACGCAGAGATGTTTTATCATCTGTTCAGGAAGTAAAGCATGGTGTACCGCAAGGCTCAGTACTTGGACCGCTGCTGTTTTTGCTATACACTGCTGACGTTTTCGACATCATTGATTCATTCAGGTTCAAGCATCATGGGTTTGCAGATGACATACAAATCATTGTCAGTGGTCCAGCTACTTCATTTCAAGCTCTTGTTGAAAAATTTGGTCGGTGCATGGAGGCGATTGATTCTTGGATGATCAAGCACAAACTCAAATTGAATCAATGCAAAACTCAGTTATTGCCAATTGGTACGTGGCAGCAAATAAACAAATTAAATTTCACTTCGATTGAGATTAACAACAGTAAAATTGAACTATGTCAAGTTGCTCGTAATCTTGGTGTTGTATTCGATAGTAATATGACAATGGAGTGCCACATAAAGTCGCTAACTGGTGAATGTCATCGACAACTTCGCATAATGAGGGCTATAAAAAATTCACTTAATGAGATTACCCTAAAGAGTTTGGCTCACGCGTTTATTCACTCGAGGCTGGACTATTGCAACAGCCTTTTTTACGGTGTCTCCATGTTGGAAATCTCCAAACTACAGTCAATTCAAAATCGCATGGCCAAGCTAGTTGTCGGAGGTTTTAGATCTGATCATGTGACGCCGATTTTACGGGATCTGCACTGGCTTCCGATTGAAAAGAGAATTATCTACAAGATTGCTGTTTTGATGTTCAAAGTTTTAAATGGGCGTGCTCCTCCGTACTTGGTCGGTAGATTGACTAAACGTGATTCAACGTCTGGTTATCCAGGATTGAGATCCAATAATAGGAATTTGCTGGACGTTCCTCAAACCCGTTTGGTGACTGGTAAAAGAAATTTTGCTGTTGTTGGACCGATGGTGTGGAATAATTTGCCAACCTCACTCCTTCTACCTGGAATATCATTTCCTCTATTTTGTAAACAATTAAAGTTGCTGCTTTTTAAGCAGCATTTCGGTTCTTGTAATTAAATGTGATTATGAAAATGAAATTTTTTGTTTTTGTTTTTTTTTTATTTTTCATGTTCTTTATTAGACGGTACGGTACTATCATTATGTTGTTTTAATTCTTGTGTCGGTTAATAATTCGTTGTGAGGCTTGTTGATTATTGCGTTGAATTTTTGTACATAACTAGTAACTTGTGTGGATAAATCCTAAAAATCGTCATTTGAACTAGTATTACTTCTTTTTGGTCATCTATTTATTTATTGATTTTTTGTTAATATATGTATATTCTGACATTTAACTGAGTGACAATCAACTTTCTTTCTTTTGTCTTATTTATTTTTTCTTGCACTTATTGTAGGCGCTTTTGAGATTTTATTAAAAAGCGATTTATAAATTTTCATTTAATAATATATATATATATATATATATATATATATATATGAATGAATGAGAAGTTCATTAATTATTAATGAACTTCTCATTCAATATAAAACTCATACAATTATATATATTAATTGATCCAAAATAAATAAATGAATCTACAACTGCTGCAGCTATTATAGACAATCAACAATTACAATAACAACAGAGATCAAAATTTAAATTTAATGGTAATTTACAGAAGTCCTAATTCAAGTGATGATAATAATGACAATCTCATTAGTGTCTTGAATGAGTTTGGTAATTTGTCTGGTAGACATCTTGTTTTGGGTGATTTTAATTTTCCAGATATAGATTGGAAGCTGAGAGTTTGTGCAGGTTCTGACTACAAGATTGAAAATAGATTTTTGCAGTTTATTGATGATAGGTTTTGGCTGCAGCATGTCAACGAACCAACAAGATATAGAACTAACAGTTGTCCTCATGTTTTGGATTTAATTATCACGTCTGAAGATTGCGTATCAGATTTGCAGTATTCATCTCCTCTGGGCAGAAGTGACCACTTATTGATTTCATTTAAAATTTTTGATTGTTCAATTTTGCACAGTAAACCTAGGAAGAAGTTGTGTTTTAATCTTGGACAGTACGATGCAATTAACAAATATCTTTCTAGCATGTTATCTGTTGATACAACTGTGGATGTAGACCAAAAGAGCAACGTAGAAAATTTATGGCAAAAATTTTGTTTTTTGATTAGTGAGGCTACTTCAAAATATGTTCCTATGAAAATATGTGGTAGCTGTGTTGTTAAGCATGTCAACTTTAAACTGAGGCGACTTATCAAGCTTAAGCACTACTATTGGAAAAGAATCTATAAATATGGAGACGTTGACTTATTGCAAAGTTTCAGGTCTACGAGAGATAAAGTTCGAGCAGAATGTAAACAGCTGGACAGAGATAACCAGAATTTTATTGCCAGAAACTATCATAACAACCCAAAACTGTTCTGGAAACAGGTGAAGAAGAAAATAACAACAGTGGGCAGGGTTGAAACACTCAGAGTACAGAACACAGATCTCACGGGTGATGATGAAAAAGCCCAAGCTTTGGCAAAGTTCTTTTCATCGGTTTATAAA